TGTTGACATTTATAAACAAATGCAGAGGGATTATAATTATAATTCAATCAAATGTCAATTTAAAAAGGAATTCAATCTTCTGTTGTTGAAGTAAAAACAATAGTTTTTGAATAGTAAAACAACTTCACAAAAACAGAGAGACAATTTTAAGAACTTTATATTTTCGTCAAAAAACGATATACTATTAAAATAGTAAAAAGAATTGATAATGAACTATACGAACTCCACCAAAAAAAATCGAACTACAAAACTCACAAGAAAACACCATGTTCAGCAAGAAAAAGAAAGCAACAACAATCGATACGTCATACGTTTCAGTCATTGATGGTGTCAAGAAGATTTATGATGAAAAGATCAAAAAGTTGGAATCGGATTTTAAGTATGACTACTTGATTTCACCACTCATGAAACCAGCAGACTTTGATGCAAAACCAATGGTCTTATTCCTTGGACAGTACTCCACTGGTAAAACTACTTTCATTGAGTTTGTTCTTTACCAACAACTGTCTACATATCAACTACAACACATCTCTTATTAGATCAATGACAAATAGCTACTTGCTGAACTATGACTATCCGGGCTCTAATATTGGACCTGAACCTACTACAGACGGTTTTATGGCCGTAATGCACGGGACAAATTCTTCCATTATACCTGGTAACACTCTTTGTGTTCAAGCAGACAAGCCATTCACTTCACTCAGCAAATTTGGTAATGACTTCATGGCCAAATTCAACGGGTCGTTCTGTAATCTTCCTCTTTTGGAACATCTGACATTCATTGACTCCCCGGGTGTGCTTTCTGGTGAGAAGCAGAGAATCGGAAGATCTTATGACTTTACAGAAGTTGTTCGATGGTTTGCCGAGAGAGCGGATATGATCATTTTAGTCTTTGATGCCCACAAGTTGGATATTTCTGATGAATTTAAAGCTGTTATTGAAGCTGTTAAGAAACACTCTGAGAAGATGCGACTTGTGCTGAACAAGGCGGATATGATTGAGTCGCAGCAGTTGATGCGAGTGTATGGTGCTTTGATGTGGTCACTTGGGAAAGTGATGCAAACTCCGGAGTGTCTTCGTGTGTATGTGTCTTCATTCTGGGAGCAGCCATTCAAGGACACCATGTTCACCTCACTCTTCGAGAAAGAAAGAGACGACTTGATGAGAGATTTGCACGCACTCCCAAAACAAGCCACCGTCAGAAAAGTTAACGAACTGTGTAAACGTGCAAGACTTGCCAAAGCAAATGCTTATATAGTTTCGTACTTACGTGAACAAATGCCAACTTTTGGGAAAGACAAGAAGAAGGCAGAGTTAGTCAAAAATTTGAATGAAGTATTCAACATAGTCATGAGGAGGTACAATTTGGCTGCTGGTGATTTCCCACCAATTGATGTATACAAGGAGAGACTCGAGAACGCAGACTTCGCCAAATTCCCAAAACTCGATGTTAAATTGATCAATTCAGTCGATGATGCCTTGAGTACTCAGATCCCATTTTTGCTCAAGAAATTCCCAATGGAAGACGAGTTGTCAACTCACACCAATCCATTTGAGTTTGGTACCAACTTTGAGAAGGTTCTTGATACACTGCAGGTCTCCGAAGATGAGTTGGCTTCTTATCAAAAGGAGTTTGCCAAACTTCCCAAGAATGATATTGGGAAAGCACTTGGGAAAGACTGTTTTGCTCCGCTGATGGCGACTGGCGCAGACAAAAAGGAGTTGCAGAAGATATGGACAATTGCAGACTCTGGGAAAGAAGGATGTCTCAACGAACACCAGTACGTCTTGGCCAAGACTCTTGTCAGATGTCTCTTGCAGACAGGAAGCTACCCAGACAACCTCCCTCCAGTAGAATAAATTTTACAGAACTATTTAATTGTTTCTGCCTTGTTTTGGTTTGAAGAAACGTTTTAATAATTTTTTTGAGCAATTGAATTACATTAAATAATAAATTAATTTATCAGTTGTCTACAACGTCTCGCAGACTATTTGAAGGAACATTGAAGCGAGCGCCGGATATTGCTGAGTCACAAAGTTGATTTGTTCATCAATTGTTTTACAGAACAGAAACGGTGTTGTGTTCAACACCATTTTCATTAATCTCTTCTGGACTTTTCCAAGGGATTTGACGTTAAACGTAGTGATCCCATTGCTGTTATTACTTATGTTAATTGTTATTTCATCAAATGACGTTTTAGAGAGTAAGAACTGATTGTTGAGCCACTCAATAAACGTCTTGTCATCAAACTCATCACCAATGACTCCGTTCCATATCGACCACCCATCGAGGAACATTGAATGGATGACATCGCGTTTCAAATTTTTGATACACTCGAGCACGAGAACAAGGCTTTTGGAATCATTCATATCCCCTCCACAAAGCACACAATATTCTTCCAATTGGCGTTTTAAAACACTTGTTGGTAAGACGTTTTCGATGATTTTATCCACCTTACATATCTCTATGTTCCTCTCAAGCATTCGACTTTCAATGTTTTTGAACAGAGTATATCGCGTCTCAGGTATTGTAAATATCACGTTCTTCTCTCTGAACTGCGACAAGACTTCTTCGGCTTTGGGATATACTGCCTCAGTCACCCACTTTTCAATTGCTTTGTCTCGATCACACGTTTCAACAATGATGACACTGTCTCCTAATAACTTGCTCATCCACTCCAACTTCTTCTCGACTATCAGTAACACTTTGAGCATTTCATACCCACCAGTCATCCCAACAATAACATCAGCACCACCCCCATCTGCACTCCCAATACAATCACACACAAACCACAACTTACTTGCTTCGTTGTTGATCTTTTGTAATAACACAATGCTTGAACTCTTCTTTTTAGAACACTCAGATATCACATCGAAGGACGGTGGCCGTGCTTCAACACCACTCTCTTCATTTTTGCGATCATTCATTTGGTTCCGTGTTTCGTCCAACTCGAGTCGAACATTGTCTTGTATGTCGTTGTACATCACTAAATTGGGTATATCCTCCTCAGACTTTTTAATCCTCGTGACACTCACATCGTTTTTCACTACCTTCTCGTTGTACTCAGTAATGTATCTGACAAAGTCTTCTTTGACCATTGCTGCATTTTGAATGAAAAATGTCACAATGTCTTCTATACTCAATTTCACCATGAAGTCGGTGACACCAGCTTGTCTTGTGCACTTATTTAAAAAGTTTTCCAACTCCTCCATCACCAAGTTGTTTGGTAACATTTCTTCATAGTATCCAATAGGGAAGCTTAATATGCGAACTCCTTCTTTAATTAACATTTCTTGAAGTACTTTTTTGTTTTGAAAATACTCAACATAAAATGCGCTCATGAGAATCAAAGTGTTACCAGTGTACTTATTTAAACGCTTTTTCCTTTCAATTGATGGAATTAATACATCCAAAAACCACTCGCAGAAGTCTTCTTTAGAAAAATAGAGTCCATCCTTTGTTTTCATATAAACAGAGTCCTTCAGTCTCTCTGAGATGTGTTGTGTCTGATCTGTTGTACAAAAGAGAAATGGAAGAAACGTACCATCTGCTGAAAAACATGCGCAAGTGTTGCTTTGTTTACTTTCACGACCGACGTAGAGCGCTCTGTTAGCCAAAGCGTCTTGGTTATACACTGAAATATCTTCCTTCATTATTTGATACCCAATCTCTTCGACCGCGAAGATAAACGAATGTTCAACGCCAATCAACTCTCTGTGTAAGTCCATGTGGTATTGTTTTGTCCGTGTGATGTTCTCATCTAAAAGGATTTTTGGTTGAATCGTTCGCTTTGAAATCGTCATCTTAAATATATCGTTCAAAAACGTCCCACCATCAAATTCCTTGTTATTGTCCATACAATACGCTTTTACTGTTTCTTCTGTAAATGCTATGGAACATCTCGCCATCTGATCAAACATCTCTTTACACTTCAAATCATTCACAAATCTGAAAATGCTATCTTGTCGTAAAACGGCCTCGAACGTACGTGGTTTCCGACGTTGTTTCATTCTATCTTTATTAGTTCTTTTTTTAATTTACAATCTAAAGGTATAGAATTTGTTTTCTTCAAGTCACCCAAAATATTCCTCAAAAATTCGACCAAAACCCCCCTTTCACATCAGACGAAAAAGTGAATAAAAAAGACCAAATAAATGAACTCAGTCCTTTGCGGACGCCATCAACAAGTACTTCTCGACATCCTTTGCATTGAGAATATGAAACTCGGTGTGCTCTTTCGAGACAACAGAAATCTCAACATCGCCAACTTTGAACTCGGAAGATGTAACTGTTTGCAAACAGTCGATCGCCATACATATCACATCGTCAGTCTTCATATCCTTTGCTACTTTCCTCTTCTCTAAATTGTTGAACGCTTCTTGTTCTTTCTCACCTGCGGCACACCCACGAAACGCAGCAACACTGCCCGCTGGGTCGCTTCTCCATAACTGAGGCGCATCAGTCTCTTCGTCCCACCCGATGAACATCGAAGACACACCAAACGGTCGCATATAAGCGTGTTGTGTTAACATCTGTGCAAAGTCTGCTGTTTTCTTCGCAACTAAAGACACCGGCATCTCGTAGCCGTAATCCAGCTCAAACTTGCTTGAGTTATATTGCGAGCGCTGTGCTATTAACTTTCCGTCAGCGTATATACCTGCTTGGCAGCATCCAACGTGTTTTGATATGCGATGGAAGTGTGTGACTGTAGTTGGATCGACCAATCTATCCTATACGTTACTATACACATACTAATAGATTTATCATACTTAATACTATAATATATATATTAGATATAGTATATATATTATATTGGATTAACAAACAGGTAACTTTTTTTGTGTTATGATACAAGCAGCGTCACCCCCACAGATCCCCACTGTCGTCAAATTCTCACATTTGACAGACTTTAATGCGTACTCTTTACGGTGAGTGATGTGTGATTACAATCTCAAATATGACAAACCGACTTGATACAATCTCCCCTCCGGTGAGAAAATTGTTAATTGACGATCGTATCCAGTTCCAGCCATTTGTTTTCGAGTTTCCAGTTGTCACTCACTTTTTTCTCTAAAGAGAGGCAAGTAAACAAATTCTATATTTGTAATTTATTTTTATTATTTCATTGATTTTCATTAGCTTATTGAAGTTTTTCTTTTTTGCGTTTTTTTAAATGTCTTAAAATGTTATTAAAATGTTATATTAAATTTATTATCAGATCTAATATATTATTAATATAATATAAATATCACTTTTATATTATATCTTATAATAAAAATAAATATAAATAATAGAATTGGTTTTTGATCATATCAACTGAATTACTCCACTATTAATTATTGAGGGAATAACAAAAATTACTATCAAGTAACCACGTAAAAACTATTAGATGTAATATACAAAAAAACTGCATTTTAGTATAAAAATGTCCTTTTCAGAATAACTCAAAGTCAATGCTTAATACAGTTAGTAAAAACTAAAGTATAATATCAATGAAAAGTTAATTGAGGACGAAAAATTGTTGCTCATAGAAACAACTGAAAATAAATAAATGAGTGTCAAAGGGTCGAGTTTAGACGACCTTTCCAAAAATTTGTCCTCTTTATTTGAACAGTGGACTCCGCCCGAGAAAGAGGAGGTGAAAGGTTTATTTTGGATATGGGGTGATCTCTGGCGTAGAGTATATAGTGCTTTACTTGATTATGATGATCAAAAGTATTTAACACAAGTTGCGTGGAAGGTTGTCGGTTTGTGTTTCTTATATTATTCTAATATTTTCCTATTTAATAATTCTATATAACAGTGTTGTAAGAAGTAGACCGTTCCTTTGTCCCTGCAGTGAAGATCAAATACATCACAATGCTCGACGTGTTTTCATTTTCCAATGCTGCGAACAAACAAGTTGATGTAAGGTACACTGGACCCAATGGTGACAATCGGATGCATGAAACTATTCGAGGGTATGTGGTCAACCAATCTCTTCGGAAAGTGCCGTTTTCATCGATGTATTGTTCGGTGTACACCAAAGATGAGTCGACGCGTCGGAGGTATATTTTGACCCCCCCTTACTATACCTACGACTATGGATCGGTGACTATTGACATGATCACTTATGTGAACAACGTGTTTTCCGTGTGTATGCCATTCCTCGAGGGTTCTGTGGAAGGGTTCATCGCATTCAACATCGGCTTTTTGCTTCCGCGCGACGAGGAGATCAACTACGAGAAGTTGTACGACTTGATCAATCTATTAATTTTCAACTTCCAATTGAAACAATTGAAGTATCGTGGTGTTGGGGATTCCGGTAAGGCCTTATTGTTGTCTGAGTTACAGTCTTTTGTCCAGCGAGTGGAGGAATACATCGTAAACATTGATGTCCAATATCGAAACTTACAGATATTCAAACGAATGGACGAGAAGAAGCTTCTTGATCCCAGAAAAGAGACGTTTGCACATCAAGACGACAAGAAAAGTTCGCTGTTTGGGTCGTTTGATAGTGTTTCGTGTACAACAACACCAACTCGGCCGTCATTAGGAAGTCGTTTGAACCCATCGCTCTATCACAAATCGCCACTGCAGACAGCAATGAAGGTCGAGAAGTGCGATTTAAAGACATCAGTAGAAGTCACTCCGATATTCAGTCCAGAGCAGTCACCCGCACAAGTTTCCAAATTACGCGAAGAGTCGATTGTGAAAGAGCGAGACGAGTTTAGATGCCAATTTTCATTTCTAAAGTTTGGTGATGAGACGTACTCAGACTTACTAGAAAACATCATATACGCATATACAGTGACATATACTATGATCATTATACCTTACGACGGAAGGAATATAGCTGGCATTAAAAGACTCTTAAGTCCCTTTGATAGGATAGTACCCGGGAAGAAATCTATATTTGGACAGACTATAGTCTCTGTCGCTAACCCCCTCATCGACGTCTCGTTTATGACGGAATTTCCACACGAATCAGATGAGTTGTTTTGTGCGCCGTATTGCATTGTTGATATGAACAACGGCAGCGTGAAGTGCTCGTCTCAGTTAAGTCTGACAAAGTATTATGTTGAGCGTGGGAATACACTCTTTTCCAATTTCATCAAGTCTTTAGGCTTCACAACAAAGACTTCGCATCTGAAGAAAATGGTCGAACTCCACGGAAGTAGTTTTGCAAAGCCGTTTTGTGTTGTTATGTTAAACTGTGTTGGTTCTGGGAGTGGTGTTCTATTCGATGTTATCTTAACAAAATTTGTCGAGTATATACGGATGAAGGCGCGGATACTCATCATGTATTTGGAGCGGAAGACATCCGAGGGAGTCTTGCCAGACTTCTGTGAGTTAGTTAAGATCACTGGGTGTTCAACAGTGGAGGACGTCTGGTGCATTGCTTCGCTTCTCAAAGATAGTGAAAATTCCTTTGTGATTAATTTGTTCTTGAAGAGGGCGAGTGATGCCATACGAAAGAAAGATACTTTCAGTGCTAACTTTGGAGGCCCACTCACATATTTCTCATCAAGTTATTCTCGTTCTATTGGGATGTGAAAGTTCTTTTGTATAATCAATAGTGGTTTCATTGTTATTATTTATTAAACATATAGACATTTTTAATAATACAATAATTATTATCATTTGTTTTATTAACAAATCTATTAAGTATTAGTAATTTATTATAGTATATTAATATTTAGTAAATAAATTATAATACAAACTATAATATAAACTAATAAAGATAACAAAATAACATTTACATATGAGAAACTGAGTGATTACGCCCAGTGAAGTACAGTAAGACTCTGGCACGTAGAACCAGTCTGTTTTATTGAAAGAAGATTGTCATTTGGTAATCCATTGACTTGATATGTAGTTTTAAATAATTGGTGTAAGTACACCTTTCGCGAAGACGTCAGCCAAAATGCTGAGTAGCACGTCAGAAGAAATTCCCTTTCGGTATTTGTGTGAAGGGTGAAGGAACGTTCAGTCTTATTCTTTCTGTTAATTACAGTGAATTTGTTTCCACAGGAGTCTGTTGTAAAGAGGAACATGTTTGAAGAAGAGACTTGTGTGTTCTCGGAGTGATTATGGACTGGGGCGATGTCTTCGGAGTAGAACCCGAATTGCCATCCTTCCGACATTTTAATGACAAACATCAACTTGTCGAGACCTTCAATCTTTGAGTTCAATTCTCTAGACTCCCATCCATCGACTGATGAGTTGAATACAACGGACGGGGTGAGACCCGAGAACATAGTTTCTGCTTGTTGGAGGATGAGTGGGACGGTATCGAAGTTAATTTTATGAGCTTTTGGTCGTGGAGAATTTGTCTTTGACGAATGAAAAGGGTTTGGAGACCTTGACATAAACTTGTGAGGAGATACACTTTTGATCTTAGAAATGGCTGGGGAGCTTCTTGCTGAGTTTGCAGAACGAGGACGCAGAGGGTATCCAGTGGACTTTGATATCACTTTGTCATCAAAAGGAGTTGGAGAGAGGATATATGAGCTGTGAGACATCTTCTCGTCTTTGTCCTCGTCCTCTTCGTATTGGAGTATGGTGGAGACTCTGACTGTGTCGTTGAGTTCCTCCAAGCGTCCGCACTGTTTAATAGCTTTGACTGTGTTGCACTCTTTGTTTCCCATGATTGTAATAAGAGTATGGAATTGGGTAGAGTTCTTATAACAGTTTTTGAAAGTCAATTAACTTCATATTTAAATATATTACTTAAATGTGACTTCAAATTACGGGAAGTTTAGTAAAATATGACAGTTTTTTTAAACCCACTTTGTTTACGAATAAAAGCATGGGTTTTTGTGTGATTGAAATCTATTTTTTATTTGGAAAGGGGACTTTTCTGGTTTGTTGACTAAACTGTTGGTAATCTTTTCTTTTTCTTTTTTGTATGAAACATTTCTTCTTACAAAATGATTTTAAATAGCGGGATTTCTTCCTAATCCAACAGATAACAATAAACATTTGAACAAATTTTAACTTCGGTTATTCTGGTGATTGTAAGCGCGTAGTGCCATTGTTTTCCCAAATCATTTTGTAGAATAATAATTTATTATTGTTTGATTGTTGTTTGTAGTTATTTAACTATTATATTTTTTAAGTTGACAAAGTCAAAACAATGAAAAAAAACAACAACAACACAACTTCAAAAAATTTTATTTGGCAAAGATATTCGTTCTTGACAAAAATATAGAAAACTAAATAATTAGGCTTTTTACTGGAACTTTCGCTAATAAATAAGTCATTTAACCAGTCTATTCCAAGAGTGTTTTTTAACTAAAATTATTACATGTTTCGAAGTATTAAAAAATCGTTGTTAAAAACAAAATTAAATTGTTGGTAACAGATTATGAATATTATCTTGTTTTCTGAACAATATCAAAATAAAACTTTTAAAATTTCAGTTTTTAATATTTTTGAAAGGCAAAAAATGATGGGGCAAAACAAGCAAAAGTCGGATTGGGGCTTCTAAAAATACTCCGAAAAGTGAGTAAGATAATTTTGGTTTTGAAAAAAGGACAGTTTTTGCAAACAATATTTTTGTTCCTTTTTGTTTTTAGTTTTTTTGGTTTCGAAAATTTCAGGTCAAGAAAAACAGTTACAAGTGTGTTTTTTGATTGGTTTTGTTAATTTAAAAATATTTTATATAATTTGTTGATAATACCACAGAGTTAATGGAAATAAAAGTTCATGATTTTTTAATTCATAAATAAGTTTGGTTCTATAAAAAAACTATTATTATAGCTATACAAAATCATTTAAGAAATGATTAACATTAAAATTATAATTGTATTAAAAAATATTATGCATAAAAATGTAACCACTCTAATAACTTATTCTATTATTGAATAATTTTTTAAACTAATATTTTTATTAATTATATTTGATCGGTTAAAAATTGTTTCTTTTTTGGTGTTCCTCTTTGTCGTTTTTAACTTTTATTTCCCCAAAGTTATGTAGTTATTAAAATATAATACGATATATACAAAATTAAAGGTATCGAATTTCGATCGTTATGAGAAAATGAACCAAAAAAACAATAATTAGATCAAACATAACAAATTTTGTAACCAAAAAGTTTCGTTTTTTTTTAATAAAAAAACAAAACAATTATTATATTAAAAATAGATTCTTTGTCCCCTTTTTATTAGATTAAATTATTACAAATAATTTCAATAACACTTCTTTATTTTTACTATGAAAATAAGTTTGTTATAGATTATATTAATAATCGAAATGATTATTTTGTATAAATAATTTATGGTTTTTATTAACTATTATTTATACCACTTTATAATAAAAAAGTCTAGTTATAAAATTATAATTTTATTTTTTTTATTAATAATCATTTTTTATATATTTTAAATGTTATATTAAATGTTATTAAAAAATTTTGTTAAATATTATATACATTTATGTTATAATATATCTAATATTTTATTAACTATATTTTGTTAAAATATTATAATATGGTTTCTAAACTAAATTAATATGGTTTTATAATATAACAAAATAATTCATCTTATAGTAAATCTTTAATTAAAAACACAGATTTATAATTACTTATTCAACCAAAAAATATTTATATAAATATAAATTGACCATAATTATAATAAAAAAAAATTACAGTGGTATTCACTTTAAATCCTTTACCCGGCATTTTAAATAATTTTTTATGCATTTTAATAAAACTGTTTTCATAATTTTTATTAATTCGGAAATTATAATAAATTGTATTAACACGTTAAATAAAACAAACGGGAAAAGAGAAAAAAAGATTGGAAACAAAATAATTCGAGTTTTACAAATAAATCAAACGGCACGAAAATAAATCAGTCGGAACATTAATAAATACATTTTGCATTTATAATTAATTCACTTATTTTTAAATTATTTCGTCACCAAATCAATTTTAGTAAATTTTTATTTAAATAATTATAACAAAACAATGAATAATTGTTCGTTTATTGAACTTAAAATATCTTTAACAAAAAGCCAACAATAAGAAATTATAAATCTTCTCTTGCAAAAGCTCGTCGCCATATTTCATTTCTGCACCGCTGCATTGACGCGTTGATTTCAGGTGCTTGAATTTCTTCAAATGATTTTTTTTATTTTTTCAATCATGTCTTGAAGATTTTCCCAATTTCTGATGCTTTCCTCTGTTCTTCGCTTCCAAAAACCAAAAACATTCTCAACAAAATTGAGTTCGGGTGAATATGCTGCATTGAAAACGATACAATGTTGGGTACCGTTAACCATAGCTGAAATATCATTATGAATTGAACAGTTATCACACCAAAATACGACTCTTATCTTTGCTTCATCATAAACCGACATGAGTCTTTTGAAATAACTATTAAATATTTCTTTTTCGTTACTCCCACACACAAGGTTACAGTGACCCATACCACTACTATCAATAGCTGCAGTGGAAGTTAGACTCATTCCCCCTTTCAGTTTAGTTAAAAAACACTTCTTACCCACTGGAGATCATCCATAAACAGAAGTACAGGCAATTGTCCAGGCGGTCTCGTCTATGCACACCCAAGTATAACCCGCGTTAATTTTATCATTTAGTTCTTGAATCGCGGTTATACATCTTGTTTTATTGTCTTCGCCGTTGGCTTCTGCTCCTCTATTTGTTGCTCTTTTGAATGATAGTGTTCCCAAATCTCCAGCATCTCCATTTATGATTTTACCTTTTATCATTCTCAAAAATGAAGCCTCCAAAGGCACTAATTGTTCTGCTTCTTTTACTTTTTCTTTTAACAACTCTGCTGTCTTAAAATTATCTTCGATATTTTTTATTTTTTGAGACAGGTTGTCTAGTATTTCGGTATCCAAAGTTTCAACAACATTGATGTCTTGTATATTACCAACAACAAGCACTTCAACCATTTTGCGTCTCACTTTTGCGATAGAGTCGGTTGGATTATTTTTAAGCGCAGCCCCGACAAGCTTTTGAAAGGGAGTGGTGCGGCTCTTTCTGTGATAATGATTAACAGGGTAAATACTTTCACCTTTAATCAATTTGTTAACAAGATATTTGCAATTGTCTATGGGTATACCAAGATCAAGTGAGAACTGCATCGGGTCAATGGTTGTTGCTGTTCTAAATGCCTTGACCAATTCCTGTTTCGTCTTTAAAGATACGGTTCTGTATGCTTTTTTCTTGTTGTCATCTTTTTCTTCAACTGTTTTCGGGGGTCTTCCTCACCTTTTCTTTGTGTTGTCAGGTGGGAAAAAAGGTTCAACGTGTAGAGCCTCTAAAGGAACACCTTGTTGTGGTTCGGGAGCATTTTCAAGGTAATCTGAGCGACTCCCGGGGTCAGTAGCATCAATGTATTCTAAAGAAGAGCGGTTCGTGTGTTATTTCAAGTTACGATAATCAAAATATGAAACATTATAATTATTTAAATAAAAATTTACTAAAATTGATTTGGTGACGAAATAATTTAAAAATAAGTGAATTAATTATAAATGCAAAATGTATTTATTAATGTTCCGACTGATTTATTTTCGTGCCGTTTGATTTATTTGTAAAACTCGAATTATTTTGTTTCCAATCTTTTTTTCTCTTTTCCCGTTTGTTTTATTTAACGTGTTAATACAATTTATTATAATTTCCGAATTAATAAAAATTATGAAAACAGTTTTATTAAAATGCATAAAAAATTATTAAAAATGCCGGGTAAAGGATTTAAAGTGAATACCACTGTAAACTTAAACTATATTGATTTTTTTCATTGTTCGATTGAGATTGACACAATCTAGATATATCACAAATCAAATTATGGTCTTACTCGAGACTGTCTTTCTTAAGAACGTCATTCTTTATATCAACTCATTTCACACATTGTCAGAATTTCTCCGCATTAACAAAAAGTGCTTTGAAGCTGTCCAAACGATGTTTACGAACTCATTTCCGCTCATTACGGAAGATGCATCCGATGAAATACTCACAAGGGTCAAACTGTACTTTCCTTCAATCCAAACAATCCGCTTACCATGTTTCTCCCTCTTTTTTCTTCCAACTATATTCCCCGCAATACTCAACATCGAAGTACTCTATGACGTCCAAAGTACACTGGACCAATGCACTTCGAAGAAATTTATCTTTCCCCGTGTTATCAATTTTAAAGGAAGTGTCGAGCATATCACTTGTATTATGAAAAAGGTCCAAAAACTCATTCTACCATCCGGCAATATCAACGAGCTAACACATGTACTCAAGAACATCAGACTATTCCCACGACTCTCCCAAATCGTATTTTCCATTGACTATGACAGTGAACTCGACGACTTTCAAAAGTTGGTCATTCAATTCCAAGAACTGAAAGTCGATATCTTAGTCAATCACGTTAACTTCGACGATTTACAAACAGTGAAGTTGGTGCAGTCGAATCTCAACTACAACGTAAAACACTTTTACTACAGTTTCTCACCATTCACTAAAATGCCAGTTATCTTCGTGTTGCTTCCAGGACTCTCCTTCCAATCCTTCGACGAAACAAAAGTTCCATTAAACGAAAACACTACTCTGATGCAGTTGTATTACCCAATGAATTACGAAGGAACCGTGTTGGATTTTAGTCGGTGCACTTCATTAACAAATATCGTGTTTACTGATAACATCAAAAACATTAAGAAACTCTGCATTTCAAAATCACTCAAACGCCTTGAAATTCAAGACTTCGAGACACAACCAGAAATGTCAGATTTATCGACCGCCAAATTGGAGTACTTTGAGGTGGGAACTTTACAGAAATCAGTGGCTTTACCCACTACATTGACCGAATTGCACATCTCTAACTTAAAAACCTTCCTTATATGCCCCGAAAACCTTTTAACCCTTCGCGTATTGAAATGCTCCAGAGAAGTGCGTTACAATAAGAAGCTAGTACATTTGACCATCCCAAAATTGTGTAGCAACAACATCATTCCTTCTTCACTCAAAGAACTCGACACAAGTCAGGCATGTTTCATTGACAAATGCGTGAATATCACAGCACTCACTGTTTCATTGCCAGCTGGTGCACTTCGCGGATATGCAATTGAGTCAATTGGTCTTCGCCCCCAAGTTTTATCAAAACTCCCTTCGAAACTAAAAGAGTTAACAATCACCGACTGCGACAAAATCGACGCGATTGAAACGCCATCGAACATCACCAAAATTTCCGTCTTTATGAACGTCGGTGGATATCACCCACTTGAAATTTTCACTAAACTGAAACTCTCTCAGTTCTTTAAAGAAGTGGAAATCGCACTTCTCTTCCAACAAATACAAAATTGTACGCGAAGTAACCAAAATTCATACGAACAAAATGCTCGTTCAGTCTGTTCCTCCCAAACACAAACAACTGTCTCTTTGATTAACTTAAACACAGCAGATGTTAAAAAAGACTTCTACGAGGTGATGAGGCTCATGTAATTTACTTTCTATTGACACGTTGTGACACGAAGCACCTCAAACAACTCACTCAAATGCATCAATTACACAAGTCGTTCAACTCAGTCGAGTTAAACCCCAAATCTTCAATATCCAACGTTTGTGCTTTCAAACTCTCCGCAACTTCTTTGTCGAGTATTGCAGACAACGAATACTTACTTTTCCCACTGAAGACAGTGTACACACTTTGTTTGTCGAGAGCCTCTCCTTCATCCAATTGCGTCGTCTTCGCTCCCTCAAACAGCCACACTGTCTCGGTCAAATAGAATACGGCAAGTGCTTGAATGACATTGAAATTAATGGCGTCGGCAATTATCGCGACGTCAAATTGGAGAGATTGGATAAACTTTCTTGTCGCGCTACTGCACGGTGCAAGCACATACGGATGATTTTCTATCACATCTTCAATGACTTTGTTTTCTTTCAGAAGCGCGTCCATGTCAGAGTACAACATCGTTCGCTCCGGTGGAAGTTTTTCTTTGATCCTATTGAGTAAATCGCTCGACGATGCTGTGACGAACACTCTTTTTGTCGTTCCTCTACAAAACCCAACGATTGCAGTGATCGCCATTTCTGGTGTGAGTCCAAGTATGGGAGTAATGTTATGTGACCCTGCAAGAGTGCCCACAAGAAACTCATTCATCTGGTCATACGTCTTAATCACGGGTTCATGTTGGTCGATATTAATTTGGTCAAACACCCACCCAAACTCGTCCTCATCGATATTTGTCATAATAGTGGTCTTCTGTGAAATCAAACTCTCCGCAAATTGTACAACAGGACAAGACACATTGTTGATGATCAAGTCTCTTATCCTTTTCATTTCATCACTATCTTCCATCAACTTTCCTATCATGTTCATGGTCGACATCAGACTGTTATTACCAATGAACCGATCCAGCCGATACCCAACATCTTTATCATAGAACATCCTCTGTGGTGTTCGTATTCGTACTCGTTTTAAGACAGTCCCTAACACTTTTTCACTCTTCCCAACTATTTCAATGGTGTCTTGTGTGGCTGCTTCACTGTCATCGTCTATAACAACAACCTCTTTTTCAACTTTCCAGTCTTTCTCTTCAGGTGGCATCATGTACCCCTTCACTATATTAATTTTCCCATCTTCACTCGATACACAAGTGAGCCCCTCGTAATATGTGATGTCTCCTTCAAACGTGTAGATGTAATAGTCCGGACGCTTCTTTGTCAATTCGCGTTTCGTCAATTTCGCCTTTCTGCTCAACGCGGGCGCATCATCTGGAGTCGTCCACCGCTTGACATTCTCCTCGTCGACTCGCCGAATTTCACTTCGCATTATTTTCAGGTATTTCATGTAGAATTGCCTCTCTCTATCGCTCAAGTGAGATATCTCGTCTCTTCCAAAATCGATACCATCATTCAAACACACAAGCGCACAATGTTTCGTGAACGCACAATACCTGCACGCCACTTCCGTCTTACTAATTTGCATTTCGTTTGGTATTCTCGAGTCAACCATATACACCGCCAACTCATTTCTTAGTCGCGCGATGTTCCCCAAATTGGGAAGTGTTGGTTGCACTTGTTCAAAGCGGTTCTCGTCTTTGTGGACGTAATTGAGTAGCCCTGAAAATTGATGGTACTGTTTCTCTAAGAACCCACTCAACAGTAGAAAGTAGAACGTGACTTGTGCTTCATTCTCAGGCTTTGCTTTGCCCGTCTTCATTTCTACTAACACCTCCCCTTCATCATTCTTCAACAAGATGTCTATCGACCCTTTAAACCCAAAGATGTACGACTGCAACTGCGCCTCAGCGGCAACTAACTCTTTCACGGGAAGTTCACGCTTTTGTGTTTCTACACAATGCTTCCTCCAACACGTGAACCAGTCATTCACTGAGTTGTAAAACTCCATCGCGCGCACGATAAACTGCTCGCGGGTCAGTCCGAGACAATACACTTTAGTAAGCCGCTCGTCGGTGATTTCCTCAACCAGCTCCCTGAAAATTTGGCGGTTAAACTCTTTCATATCAGTGATGATGACATGCTGGACAGACTCGTGGATGACTGTCCCGATCTCCGCTGCTTCAATTGATTCATCCGAATACACATAGCCGCTTATAATAGTCTTTCGATTACAAAACATCGAGTTGACAACACCAGTAGTGTTAATCATGACGTCCGGGTACTCAATAAGTAACAAAGGAGAAGTGTTAGTCAGTGAAATAGTGTCAGGAAGTATATAAGTAAACCTTTCCTCGAGAAATATGATGTGGATGATTTCCCCGACACGCAAATCCGTCTGATGCCAACAATCGTCGAGTATCAAAGTGAAATGCTTCTTCGTTTCTTCGTCCTCTACCATGTAACGCTTTGTGTTGTTCACTTCTCCTTTCGACTCCACCACCTCTCCTCGAATGAATTGGGCCCAGTGTGGTGCTATTGTTCCTTTATGCATCTACTTTTCTTGGTTCTTTGTATCTCTTTAACTCTATAGTTTATTTTATGGTTATTTTTATCATTTAAAAGAGTTATTTATATTACCACAAATTTTCAATAAAAAATTATTTTTTCAATAACAGAAGAGTTTTTTAACAATTATAATGCGAATTAATGTTTTTTGAATGAAATATTTAAAATAGATAAGTAACTAATTTTTTAATAATATTGAATATCGAAAGAAAAAATGCAAACTAATCATTCCAAAAATAGTAATCTGTGGTATTTATTATACTTAATCATAACAAAACTATAAATTATAGTAAAATGTGGATGAAAAGTAGTGAAATCAACTTTCAAAATCCTGTCAAGAACAGTCAGAACATTAAAAGTATACAATGAAAACAACATGGGTGCTCCTGTTGTTTTTTGCATTAGGAGGGATGTCCTTGTACATTCAAAAGAAGCAAGACTTCTCCAAGCGTGTAACCAAGCTAGTGACTTATCACTATGGCAACAACGGAACCTTATACTTTCAAACGGCTCCAATTAGAGAACCTACGGAGTCTTCCGTCATCATTTCGATGTGTCGGGGACAGTACAAAATAGACGAAGTCACCTGTGAACAAATGGACACATGCCAGAGCTATAATATATATGACATTTCGCGACGGAACAGTTCCTTGTATTTAACCGTGAGAGAGTCGGACTTATATTCTGTGTATATTCTCCGATGCGGGAGGTCGACCAATATCGAATTGAACTACACGCTTCATATGTTAAACGGGGACTCTGAATTGTCTCTTGGGGATTATAAACAGTATATGACGACATGGATTCTCTTATGTATATTGTTTGTTGTGTCGGTGTTTGTGGGTGGTGTGTGTACGTTGTGGTTCAACAAAATAACGATCATCCAAATTGTGCACGTCACGGCGCTGTTTTTCGTTGTAGTGGGAGAAGTGTTTTCGGTGTGTTACTTTTACATGTACAACAAATACGGATTGAAGTATGACAACTTCGACATCATGAGCAGGATGTGTAGCACATTTTCTGATATCATCATCATCGGGTTGGTCACTATAACGTGCAACGGATATACTATTATATATAAACACTTCTCTATACTTCACTCGAAAGTGCTGATCATTGGAATATTGACTTACTGCGTCTCTGTTGTCCTCGCGTATTTCGTCGATGGCGTCTTCATCTTTTTGGGATTAGTCGCCGCGTTCTTTTTCATCACGCCGACTGAGATCAAGTCGATTGTATTCAACGCAAAAGTAGTGAAGTATCATATACTCTCAAATGAACGAGTCGAACACATCGGGAGTCTTCCTCAGAAAATTATCGTCTCGAAATTTCTGTTAGGCGGAGTTGTTGCATTTTGGCTCTTGTGCTTCTTAAACACATTCTTCCTCTTATTCGCTTCAACGGAAATCACCATTTTGTGTTTTGTGTCACAGCGCATCTTACAGATTCTCTTTCTCTTTTACACCATTGTCGTCTTCTTCCCTTTCAACGGAGTGTATGTACCAATCGAACAAAACATTCAGAGCGTATTGGCACACAACAGGTTCGCCGTCTCAAAAAAGACGCAATACGTTGTCGTCGATAATTTTGAAACATTAGTCGAGACAGCCCAAATAGTCGTCTTCTCCTTTGCAAACTCAGTCAACTTAAACCAACTCAAACTGTCACCAGACGGACTAATGATAATGCAAAACCTCTCGAAAGACCCTGTCATCTGTATGAATAACTAATCTGTTTCTTGTGTTGCAGTATTTACTATTTTATTGTGTTATAATTAATAACAAATATAGTACATTTTTTTGGCACATTTTTTGTTTTGATAATTATATTTTAAAACAAATATTATTTACATAAATGTAAATAATATTTGTTGTGTTCATATAAATAGTATGGTAACTCTGCCTTATGCAAAACTTTACCTTATGCAATATTTTTTATTGATAATTTTTAGTATATAGAAACCATTTTAATTCTATAAAAATAAAATAGATTATGATGTTTTTGGTTAAAGAATATTTAACTATACTATGGTTTAAATTATTTTAAATTAATATTTTGTTTAATTTAGAGGTAGAGTGTCAATATTGTATATAAAAACACAACAAACAAAACAACAAGATTTTTTTTAAATTTAGAATTTTAACTTATTGAAATAATTTCTGTTCCAAAAATGCGACAAATAAAAAAAAGAAAAAAAAAACTAATAAAAAAATACCAAAAACATGTTTTTTATTAATTAAAAGCATTTATGGGATTATTTGATTCAAAAAAATTAGACGAGATTAGAAAAATCACCAATCCAAATTTAAAAATAACTAGAATGAAACTATACTGATATTAATAGTAAGTTATAATTGAGTTGGCAAGATCTTCCCAATTCTTATTTGTGTTTGGGTGTGATGTCTCTTGAGAAGTATCTGTTCGAACAAGCTCGCAAGCAATGAACTGAAAAATAACCAAAGAAGGATGGACAAGTGTGGCACGACGAACTCATTCAAAACACTTCAAATTGAGAATTTTCAAAACTTTGGGACGGTCAATTTTTATGGTCATAAGAACTTAGTGAATAACATGGGGTCGACTGCGACGTCACAAACGAACACATTAGTCGTCCCCGAGAAGAAAGAGTTTGAGGAGGTCAAACCGTTGATCGTTCCACTCACCAAAGAACTTCCTCCCGACACTCGTGTGATCAACAAATTTGCACTGACTGAGAAGAACTTAGACAAACTGAAAGACTGGACGAAGTGTTCGAAGTTTCAAGTGGTGTATTCAAATGAAAATGAACCGCTGTATGCCCGTGATTTCTATGCGAAAGTTAAAGGCCTTAAAAATGTGATGGTACTTGCAGAAACAACAACGGGACAATGCTTCGGCGGCTTCTTTGGTAAAATCCCCGAGAAACAAAACACGTGGGTGACTGAGGATTTGAAGCACTTCGTCTTCACTCTCCGTAACCCCGTCATGATCCCACCCACCCCCATATACCCACGAATCGATAACAGAAATATTTTACTCATTCGAGACAATGCTGAGCCTAAAGTCGTATTAGAAAATTGCGCTTTTGTCGTCTGCAACGACGGCTCAAGTAGACAACACATCAGGTTCTCTTCGACTTATCACGACACAACTTTTAAGGGCGAAAGACTCTTCGCTGGTAACCAAAAGCTTTTCCAAATCAGAAACTTCGCTGCGCTCTGTTGGGAGGAATAACACTGATTGAGTTACAAAGTCTTTTTGATAGTCAAAAAGTCGAACGGAAGAAATTAGTTTATTATAGTATTTTACTATTAGTTAATGGTTTTGGAAAAAGACCACCTCTTTAGCAGAAATAAATAGAACTTCACCATCAAATATTCTTTGTGGAACTTTCCCCATCCATTCCCATCTCACTTCGCTTCTTTAAACCCTCGATCTTGGCTTTACAGAATGGACACTCGTTATGGTTCTCCATGTACCTCTCGATGCAAGTTGCACACATTGAATGTTTGCACGGGAGCATGATTGTGTCTGCGTTATTGCTACAACAAATGAAACACAATTTGTCTTCATCTTCTTCAACTTCCATTTCAAATGAAGTTTCTGACGCTCGTCCCCGGAACGATGGGGTGACGGTGACTGTTTTTGACCCTTTCTTTTTCTTCTCTTCAAGAGCACTTTTGATGAACTCAACGACAGCCATTACATGACCCATCGCCTCCTTTTCAAACACTTTCAAGTCAGTCAAAATTTGTTCGGTGTATGTCGGCGTCCTCCACCGATCCCACGATGCCGTCTGATAGTCAATGTCAAATGAAAATATCGAGGTGGACCCTTTCTCGATCCCTTCTATCCCTTTGGCGATCTCTTGTGTCACCAACCCGTCTTGCAAAAACCACGCCATTCGTGATTCTTGGTCCATTGAATTCAAAATATTCGAAAGTGCATTCAACAGTAACAGCCGCAATGAGACAAGTATGTTATGTATCATTCTCCCTCGGCGGCTGTTCCCATTTCTTACAGTGCATTGATATAACACAAATGTCAAATACTGCAAAAATTTCGTAGCAAGTGCGTGGTCGGTATATAACTTGCCAAAGTAGAAGGACAACGCGTCCAACAGATCTGTCCCACTTAACATGTTTGATGTGAGTAATTCAAACGCCTTTATCTCCTCGTTGTTCAGTCGCTCTTTATCCAACAGCAAGAGAAGTTGGTCCAAATTCTTTGAGATGAATTCTAAGACTGTTTTATGTGTCTCCATCGCATTCTCCCCCACTTTGAAGTACTCCATAATGATTTGATTCATCACATTCTTGTAGTTATTATACTCTGCGACATTGCCTTTGATCTGGTAGAAAGGCACGGGGAATGCAATTCGAATGAAAAACATTGCGCGCTTGTATCGGTCCTCCTCGTCCATTTTAAATGACTTAAAAACTTGTTCAAACAGAATAATCCGATTCGCCGGCGTGATGGTTTCAACTAAATGTGGCAATTTGGAGATCAGAAGTGCAAGCGAAAGGAAAATGGTAGTATTCAGTCCCGGCTTTGCTATGTCCTTGTTGTTCAAAAACGAAATGAACATATTCGCACACACGCCCATGGGTTCTTTTAATTGTTGAATGATCGTTTGCTGGTACTTGAAGACGATCATCTGTCGCAAATTTCGACACAACGACACGACGGTTGATAAGTACGGCTCGTGCACAAAAAGGACTGCGTCACACACATTCATCGCGTTCACTATCATCTCAAACATCTTCTGCTGTATTTCAAATCGACACGGAACAATAAAAGACGAAGCCATCCACAAATAGTCCAACCAATCGATGTCTCTCTCAAGCGTGTTGGTTATCCCAACCATTTTCCGACAGACAATTTCAATTTTCGAGAAGAATGGAATTGTGTTGTTGTAGAAGAACAGAACAGCACGGTGGACTCTTCTTTGATATTCATAGTCCGCGTCGTTGTCTTTAATTGGGAACGTCTTCTTCAAGTAACTGACTGTCCCGCCAAGTCGATCAAAGTCTTCAAATTGTTTCGGCGTATCAAACAAGAACTTATTGTTGAACACAAACGGCTTGTTCTCCTTCAACAACGAATCAAAGAGGGCAAAAGTAATTCTGAGTGTCACTTCCATTGCTCCGTCGTTATCTTCAGCTTCATCCGCAATGTTATGTCGCAGACTGTAGTGTCTAATGAACTCGTCCAACAGTTTGTTAGCGTCAAGTGCTTTGAGAAGAGTTTCGTCGTTCTCCAGTTGCTTCTTATGTTTTTCGTTCAACTTGAAGAGTAATTCTTCTGGTGGTTGCGCCAAAGTAATTTTTGTTGTTAAAGTTGTGTACTCCGCGAATGAAATCACTGCTGTTTTCGTGAAAATGATGTCGATGAATTGGAATAACTTGTTGATGTTCTTACAAGCAAAGTTCATCATTTCATTCAAGAACTCGACGATGAGTTGTGTGAGTTGAATCGTTTGTTCGTTGTCGTAAGTGAAATGTGACGTGAAGACATAATACCACTCCATCAAGATATCAAAAATCGTTTCGATGTCACTCTCGTGGACCAAATGCTTCAACATCACCACAAACTTCTGCATTTTCTTTTCTTTATGGCACTCAAACAAAAGTGTGATGAAGTGCCTGACGCAGATCACTTTACTATTCACAACAAGTGACATAAAGCGTGTGAAGAGTGCTTCAAGCACTAATACCGAAGCATTGCTCTCGTCATTTAAACATTCCAATATCGCAACTTTAAGCGCCTCCCCCTCTTTGTCTGCACTTTTTGTTGGTTGTTGCGCTACAGGAGTGTATTCAGGAAACTTTTCTCTAAATAATAAAGGGAACTCCCCATAATTCACAATGAACTTACTCCCAACAGACCCAGTAACACCAAAGTATGTATTCTTGGGTGGTTCAGTGCCCATATCAGTGAATGCAATACCGCAGTCTTTCTCATTCAAAAATACTTTCATCGTTTTATTGTCAAAGTCTACACAGATCGAGACAACATCCCCTTGCTTCCACTTCGAACCAAAAGGAATTTGTTTGCCGTTCCATAAACACTTTCTGTACCCGTCATACGCATACGAGTCCGAAAAATCTCCAATTCCTCGCGAATTGTCGAAGGACTCAGTGCTCTCACAAATACCAATTTGAAGAAGACCGTCTACTTGGATGATAACTTGGTAGACATATTTCCCAGTCGTAGCACCAAAGTTCGATAAGAGTGTCGGAAACATGTTAGTGATGATGTACTCCCCTTTGTAAAAGCCAGTTTTCATCTCTCCGTTGATCACAGTCACTTTCATCTTGTCTATAGATGAAGGAGAGGTCTGTTGATTTGGACTCATGATCGCGTCGAGATAATATGGAAGAATCACATGCTCATAATCCTCAAAGTCCGGGTTAAAAGTCGGGTTCACTTTCTGGGCTATTTTAATCAATAAATTTTGCACCTCTTTCTGCATCATTTCAATCAGAATTTCAAGATTTTAAATTTGAACACAAAAACGTTGAAATTTAATAAAACTCTGTGATTTTTTGAATTAATATTTAAATTAAAAAGTATTATTAAGTTTAATTTGTTTATATTTTTAAAATAATAGTAAATTTTTACTATTGATTTTTGAAGTTTAACTTTCTTCTAATAATAATAATTTAATAAAAATTAATTTTGTTTTAATTAATAATTTATTACACTTTTTTTAAATGTTTATTTTTCTATATTTATAAATTAATAATACTATTTTAGATAATACAAAGTAATTAATTGAAATTAATCCAAAAATCTATATATTTAATAATAAATGATACTATAAACCATTAGAATGATAAATAAAATATTTACCACAAATTAATAATTCCTCATTAATTTCGTTTGTTCATCCAAATTCAAAACGTCATTTTTCAAAGTCAAAACTGAAAAAAAGAGGACTCTAAATTTCAAATAGATGAGTGGTATTATTAAAAGCTTGGTGTATATACCCCGCAGTTCAATGCAAATATACGCATATCCTGAATTGCCACAAAACACTCCATATATCTTTGGATTGCTTCCAACTCTTGCGTTTGCAGACACAAACCACAACCCAATTTATTTCATCGTCCCGTCATCGCAACCGATTCAAAGGATGTATGGGGTATCACTAGTATATCCCACGCACGCGTTGGTCTTGTTGACTACAACTTTTCTGATCGATCCACTCAACAAACTCTTAAACTGTTATTACTCTTTATTCACAAGACCTTCTCCTCAACTCTTAACAGCACTTTACAACGCTATGGACGCATCGAAGGTAGTTCCTACTCCAATTATTCCAACAGAGGCGTTACTCTCTAATATCACTAAAATCATTAAACTGATGTTGTTGCCATTTAGAACAGTACTTTACTCACAGATACCAGCTAACACATCCCTCTCCCTTTTGTTCATCATGTCGTCTATCCCAGGAACATTTTTCCAGACTAAAGGAGACTGCCCAAATTCATTGGCATTTCCTCTTAAAATCGACACGCCAACACACCCCATCATCCCACATTTCCCAACAAGTTGGCTCGATAAGATCATCGGTGCCGACGGGTATGTCATTGGGACGACATCACCCATCTTCTCCGAGTTGACTAAAGACTGGGATGTTGTTATTAATTTGGACAACGGGAAAGTGCGCTGTCAAAAGGATGTTCAGAACGTCATTGCGGAGACTCGTGAAGACAAATTGTTCATATTGCAAATGAAGGAGATGTACCAGAGAAAACAAATCGACAATGTCATGTTGGGCGTCGAGTGGTATGTCCAAGGGCTTTTGAACACAATTGCCCCATTTGCAAAGAAAGTGACAAGCGTGTCGTGGAATGAAATAGCAAATACACCAGCGAACGACTATGGAATTGCATTTTTGAAGGAGTGGTTGTCGGCGCCGTCGTTCCAGGAGTGGAAGGAGAGAGTTTGTGTCGACCAAGCACTTAAGTTTGACGTTAAACATCCGGGAAGAACTTCAAAGACGTCGTTTGGTTCATACACATCGGAGAGTATCACATCGATGCTTACGACTGATTGGATGATCAAAGGTGCTGTGAAGGTGGATAACTTCTATAGAGGGATTGAGAAGTATTGGACAAAAGAAGAGGAAGAAGCGCCCGTTGAAGACACTCCCATTGTTGTCACGGAGAAAAGTGAAATCAAAGAACCGTTGGATGTGGTTGAAGCAAAAGAAGAGAAGAAGGAACTACCAAAAGAAGATTTAAAAGTAGTTTTTGACAATGTAGAAGTGAAGGAAGAAAATAAAGAGGCGCATGTTGAGACTCAATAAAATTAACCATTTTTAGTGTTGTTTTTGTTATTAGAGTCACTGCAACACTTTGTAATATCATATTTGGCAGTGATTGTGTTAGAGAATAAGGAATGTGAATCAATAACTAAATTTGAGAGGCTTAAAAAATGTTACTTTTGTAAAAAGTGTGTGGAGTTAGTGGAGTCTTCATGTAATAAAATAGAAAAGAAGATGAGTAATTAATAATACATTTAATTAAGAATATGGTGAAAATTTTTGAAATGTAAAAAGTTATCGTAGTTATTTATATGTGTTTGTTACACATTATAGTCATGGATAAATAATATTTTTTAATATTTTAAAAGTGTGACTGTTTTTTGGCTCGAAATGATGATAAGATTAACAGAAGAAGTTAATCAACGGATGACTTTGGAATTACTGAATAATAAATAGCTTTTAATCTGTTTGTATTTAAAAGTTTAATATAAAAACGGAAATAGGGCAATCGTAAATCTAATTGAATATTAATTGCATTTGGCGACTTCAAATTAAAAATAAACAAATTGGATATATCCAACTATTTTAAAGTGGGTTTGTTGTAATATGTGAAATGTAAAACTGTTGGGAGGTTTAAACAAATGATTCAATTTTTATAGAATAAATATTAATCTATTTTTAGAGAATATACATTTTTTAATATTAATTGGTTCTATTATATATAAAAGTGGTTGTATTTGTCGACTAAGCCGTGTGCTTTTTGGACAGACTTCTTTGATTAAAGTCAACTAATTAACTTCAGTGTACCAAATATCATTAGGTCTGTAAAAACCTATTTAGTAAAAAATGAAAAGTTTTTTTGTGTATTATTTTATTTGTCGAAACAAAAATAGAACCAATCTAAATAAAAAATAACTTCAATTTAGTTATACATTTTAATTACTATTAATAAATTAAAAAAATTCTAATAAACAAAGCCTTCTTTATAGTTTTGTCAGTTGATTTGCTGGTTATTATTATTTGTCAATACAGTTTTGATTAGTTGGAGATTATGAATTTTTTATAATGAAATATTAAATAGTATTGATATCATTAACTAGAGTTATTAGTTAAAAAAATCAAACAAACATTTCAGTTGATTTTGCTTGGATATGGATAAAACAACAATTTTTACAAAAAAAATTATAAATATAGATAAAATAACTATAAAAAATAGCATTTTAGACGAGCAAAAGGATATTATTACATAACCCGTGTTTTGAAATGTTTTCAGCCCCCATGACAAACTGGCAATAACTTCATTTCTTGACAAATAAAAAACTGTTTTAGTTTTTCTTGTTCTATTTATAAAATACTGTCATAATTCCCGATAAATTAGAGATATTATATCTTACATTGGTATTGTTAAAAAATACTTTTACATATAATAATTCCAACACCACAACTATGTAAAAGATTATTCAATGAGTAATATAAAGCATTAATAATTGATATATAAAACACAAATCCACCAATTAAAGAGAAATGGGTTCTAAAAATTTTGATGAAAACAATAGAGCTATTTAAGCCAAGATACACAATCTCTTAACAGTATGGAAGGCAAATTCAAAGCTACATCTCAAAGACATTTACAAGGTTCACAAGTTATCTTGATTAGAAAACATATCAACACAAGACACACTCTTCCATGTGAATTATTTAATTGTTTCAATGATGAAATTGAAGAAGAAATCAGAGACATACTCTTTAACAAGAAAGAGACAGACTTCATATCAGTGGGAAGCACTCCTGTTGTATATGATTACGAGGATGAACATTATACATCTTCAAGGTCTTTTGAAAAGCTCTACAAATTTAAGTAATAAAGTGAACAATTCATTATATGTATTTAATTAATTAACTTCTTTGGTATTTGTTTTATGCATAGTTGAACGTTGATAAAATGAAAAGTGTTTGATGTTATGACATGAGTTTTAATAATTTATATCTCATGGTTTACAACTAGAACAAGCCACAATATTTTAAGTTTGATTTTGTACTTATTTAATAAACAAATTAAACTCAGTATATACTGATTAAAATAATATTTAACCAAAAAAATTCAATACAAAATCATTGATATTGGTTTATTCTTTAACGATTCTTAAAACACAAAACAAACGTTATTTGTGTTCCGTATGTCATTCTGATTTATGTAATACTATGCCTTTTGCAAGACTTATATATTTATTTATAAATATTAATTAATAATTTTTGTAATGAATAAAAACTAAAATAGTTTTTGGTTTGAAATTATTAAACTATATAATACTTTATTTTTATTAAAATTTAACAATAATAGTATTCCATAAAGCAAAGTTTTACATAAGTCAAAGTGACCAAATAATTATCAGAAGGGTGTTTTTCCCATTGATTATCTTGGAAATAATGGGTTTAAAAAAGTGAAAAAAAGGTTCATCGAAAAATAAGATGTCGCTTTAATGTATTTTTATAATAACTACTAATTAAAGTTTTAAAACTATTTATTTTACTTCTTACAATTATTTGGTCTCTGAATGATTTTGATCAACGGTAATTATCGATTTTGTAGTTTTAAAAAAATAGTTTGCTATTTTTGTTATTCCAACTTTAAAAAAAACTTTAAATATTTAATTTGTTCTTTTGAATGAAATTTTTTAATATAAGAATAATATAATATAACTATAAAAGTATATAAAATTAAATTAATATTATTAATTACTAAATTATAATTAATTATTAATATATTTATAATTGATTTACTAATACATTATTTTAATAAAAAAGTTTTAGTTTTTAAACTTATTAATATTAAAAAGGTTGAAGGAACAAAGAACAAAATATACAGTCAAAGGCGTCTATTTGTCGTAATTATAATTGTCGAACTTGCTTATTTGTCGCACAACTGGCCAATCGTTTTGGTGTACGACAATTAAATATTTTGTTCTCGAGTCTGTGACTTTTGTTGAATTAAAAACTAAATTTTTAATAAAAATAAATTTCAATTTTAAAAAAACTTTTCTACACAATTCAGTCAAAGACAAATAGACGTCTTTGACTGTAGTTAAATAATAAAATAATAATTACAATAATACATAGATTATTTTTAATAATTATAATTAATACAATAATATCTTTATAATTACATAATTATAATTTGATTCTAAATAAAAACACAACACATAATATAATATATGTTTAATTAAATACCCTTTGCTCTCTTGCATCTCTGGAGGTGGATGTTTGCCATGAGATATCCAAACATTGCACAGATAGCCCCCATTAATAAGTCTGATATATAGTGATAACGGTTCCAAGCCGTTGCTAAAGCAATTAAAGATCCCATAACAAAGACCATTTTACCAAGTGTTTTGTGTGAGTAATAAATACCAAAGGCGGTTGCAATAGTCTCGCCGACGTGTCCACTTGGGAAAGTTCCCGATGAATCATCTCTGTCGACTGTACCTCTCCAATACTTTGTAAACCCAAACCCAGTGATTTCTGTGGTGTACTCATCCTTCAAATATATTCTTGGGCTCTTCCCTGGGACGAAAATGTTGATCAAGAATATAATAGAGAACGTCGAAGTCCAACACATGACTAAATACTCAATATCAACATACCTCTTCACTTTAGATGGATTGTTTAAAGAGTCTTTCAACCCAAGACGCTCTTTCCTTGCTTCAAGAACTATTTCCAAAGCACAAACCCCTAAGGACAAATACCCCCACACATAGAAGGTTATATAAATTAGTTCAAAGTACTCATTGAGCATCTTCCCACTGAATGTGGTTGGATTAAAAAAGCTACTTTGGTCGACAAAGAGTGAGAGTGTGCCTTGTGGGAATCGTGGGAAGAGGAATTTATCAGAGTCGAGTAAGTACTCGTCGTACAAGCTACTTCTAATGACTTTAATCAACTCCGTCGTTGATATGAAATTGAAAGCAAGGCCAAGTGTCAGTAAGAACAAATGGAACAACTTAAAGAAGTCGACAAATCTCTCGAGGAAGTGTGGTCTAACATTGTAGAGGATACCAAAGATGACAAGGCCAGCGTGCCAAGGGTAACACATCCATGTGACTTTGGTGTTGTTAGCCCAGACGGTAGTAATAAAGCCAAAAGAGACCATCCAGAGTGTTAGAAAGTTGATCATATTAGACGTAAAGGTTTGGTACACTTTCTTTGGGAATTGGAGAAACGTCGCGACACTGCTTTTGAGTAGTGACATTGGTATGTTATTAGTTCTCAAAGAGAAGAATAAACCTAAACAAAAACTAAAGAAATCGAAACAGTTTTTGGTTGTGAAGATACGTCGAAATGGAGTCTTTTTCGATTATTCTATTTTGGGGTCACATGTTTCATTTCGCTTGTCCCCCAAAAACAGCCTGTTCTTCCTACAAATGGTTTATATTATTTTACTTTTAAAACATCAACAATTAGCACTTTCTTTGGACGATGTTGTTCGATTTGTTATTGCTTTATTTTCAACTCTGAGTTACTTTTGCTCTTATAAAACAGCTTATCATCCTTTTGTTCTGCTCCATTGTCACTTTTTTTAAAAAGAAAAGACGGGTGTTTCCTGATCGATTTGGGATTGTCACTGCTGTTTTCTGCATCAATTTTTTTCCAATTTTGTTTTGTCTTTCTCAATGCTATTTTTATTATAATCATAACTAATTGTACTTCTACTATAAAATTTTAAATGTTATTATACAGTAGTATTTTTATTATATATTTTACTACAGTTGTTGATAATTATTATAAATACTGTTCTGGTCAAAAACATGGAAAAAGAAAACCATTCAGATTTTATAGAATTAATATATTATTCTATTTTTATTAAATAAAAAACATTAAATCATAATGAAGTTTTTTTGTATTTCCAAATAATATAATTTGTTTTTTCATACCAAATGGTTAAAAACAAAAGAAAAAATACAAATACGCAACACGTGTAAACAAAAATCACTATATGCCATCTTATTGGACAGAAACTTATTTATTGTTTTTGAACATGACTTTTAAGCAAAAAACATTTTTATTCAAATTTTGATTGTGTCCGTTGTTTTGTGACGGGGAAATAAAATATTATAAACATTTATAAATACTCACAAGTATATTAATTGATCTATTTTTACTATAATATATACTTATTATTTGATGTTTTTGATTTTTGGGCTTGTGTACTTTTATATAAAAAATAAACTTTTAAAAAAATGGAAAAATATTTAATAAAGTCAAGATTTCCCGTTTTTAAACTACTTGAATTTAGTTCAACGTTAATTTGGGTGTTAAAGTAAATTATTTTATTTAAATAAATAAACTATATAATAATACAAGTATTTTTTATTCAAATACAATAACAACATTATAAATAAATAATAATTCAACTTGACATTAGCACATAAAA